ACAATATTATATTCCTTCATGTTCCTGGGTACTTATCCGTTCTTCTCCCACCGCATGTTAAGATCTGTCACAAGCCCTTCTTTAATTTGGTTGTCTGACCTTTCCTTATCCTGTAAGACTCAGCCACTTTGTCAGAGAAACACTTCTTGAACATTCAGATTAGGTCAGGTTCATTTTTATATAAGTTCATAGCACAATATATTTCTCCAGAACATCAATTAGTTACTTATTTGTGGAATTATTTAAGTCACTCCCTTACCAGACAGTAACGTCCATTGATTTATACTATTTGTTGTCCAGCATACAGTAAGTGCTCAGTATAATGAATTCGTTCTTTAAACAAACATTTTTAAGAGCCCCCCAAAATCTTGTAGATGTAGGCTGCACAAAACTTAGATACACTGTAGTCTCTACCCTAATATTTTTTAAGATACTCCATTCCATTGTGCTTCTGACCCCACTATTGCTAGCTTGCTGTTTTGATTATATACAGATATTGTATTTTATCAAATTCTTTTTCTGCATCTATTGATATGATCATACAATTCTTTTTTAGCCTGCTAATGTAATAGATTATGTTAATTGATTTTATAATGTTGAACCAGCTTTGCTTATGTGGGATAAGTACCAGCTGGTCATAGTGTAAACTTTCGTTTGTTTGGTTTTTTGTTATTTTTATCCAGTACCAGGAACCGAATTCATGACCTTGCGCTTGCCAGGCAGGTGCTGTGCCGCTGAGCTAAATCCTCAGCCCCTAGCTGGTCATAGTGTATAAGTTTAAAAATTGTAAAAATTAAATCAAAAAGTTACATTTTGAAGACAAATTTTAACTGTTTTCTTTTTTTTTTTTTTTTGTCTTTTTGAGGCAGATTCTCACTATGCAGTTCAGGCTGGCCTTGAGCTCACTTCGTAGCCCAGGTTGGTCTGGAACTCACAATGATCCTCCTGCCTCAACCTCCTGAGTGCTGGGATTACAGATGTGTGCCACCATGGCCAGCCTTAACTAAGTTTTCTGAGATGGGTAATAAATATTGAAAAAATTTTGTTACTAATACTATTTCATGAAATACATGTGAATGAAAGCAATGACAGTTCATTCTTTTTCTACTTAATATAAAATAAAAAGATAATAAGTGTTGATAACTGTGTAGATATAGGTTCTCCTATAGTTAAGTATGGTGTATATAGTAGTCAGGTTTCCTGTCACTGGTACAAAATACTCAATGCTCACAATTTAAAGGAGGAGAAGTTTATTTGGCTTCACAGTTTAGAGGTGTCAGTCCATGGTCTGTAGGCTCAAAGGCAGAAACACCATAGTGAAAGGATATGACAGAAGAAAGCTCATGGTGGTCATCATGGTGGTCAGAAAGCAAAGAGAGAAAAGAGGAGGAGAGAATGAGAATGCATTCCTCCAAGTCATGGTCTGGGAGTGACACACTTATTCTGACCAGGCTCCACCTCCAGATGGAAGATTTAGGAGGCATATTTTAGATCTAAACTATAACACTATTATTTACCATTTTGGCTATATCTTTTATAACCTAAAATTTACCAACCCTTAAATCCAGTAGTCCAAACTGGCAGTGTTTCCCTGAGAAACTGTTTCACAGGAACAAAAAGAAACATTATATAGATTTGGATTGTAGCATCAATTTTGATAGTGGAAGATTGAGAGCAGCTTCTGTCCAATTGAAGGAACCCCATATACCTATCAATAGAGGAATAACTGAATGTACTATCATATATCCACATCTGAAGAGGCCATGTCACAAATAGAAATGATGAAGTACTGTGTGTATCTGTATAATGTGGCAAAATGTCTGCTTTACACATGAACTCATGGAGGAGTTCAGTTTCCAAAGTCATACATTAATGGTATTAAAGGACTGGAGAGTTAATCACACTCTGATGTTCAGAGATGGGATCTTTGGGCAGAGATTAGTCTTACACAAAGTTATGAGGGTAGAGCTCCCATGATTATATCATGGTGGCTTTACAAGAAAAGAGATAACACAGACATAGGCACACACACTCCCTATTTTTGCTATGTGATGCCATCTGCCACCTTGAGACTCTGCCAGCAAAAGGACTACCAGCAGAACTGATCCCAATTTGCACTTTAAATCTGGCCTAAAAGCAGCCATTGATACCTATGCTTGAATCTATTCTGCCTTGACATTTGCTCTTCTGTATTAATTAGTCCACTGTCTTTAATTTCAGCTTCCCAGAGCATCTCAGGGCATAAACACGATGCAGACAGGTTCCATACAGGAACATAACATAAAGAGCCTCTTGTCCAGTTCCCAGTAGAGTCCTTCTACCTGTCTGAAACCCATAAGCACAGTCTTTAATGCCTGAATTCTTAGCAGCATTCTGTCCTCTGAGCTTCCACCAGATTTGTCCCATTAAGTTCTGCTTAACACATGCAGGGGTGTCTCTACCTTGCATCTCTAAGCCTTCCCAAACTCCTCCCACAAACCAGTGCTAAAGGCTTCTGAGTCATGTGGTCAAAGTCACAGTCATGACCACATTTCTCTGTGCAAATTTTCCGTAAGTTTTGTGTTCCTGTGATAAAATAATTCACATAAACAACTTAAAAGAAAGATGTATTTTGGCTCATGGGTTTGGGGGTTTCCACTGATAGTTGACTCCGTTGCTTTTAGGGCTGTGGCAAAGCAGAACTAGCTCAGGGGACGGGCATGGCAGAGGAAAGCTGCTCACCTCGCGACAGCAAAGGAAGCAGAGAAAAAGAGAAAGAGCCAGAGACAAAGGTCTAGGTTAAAAATATGTATACCCTTCAAAGCCAAACCTTCAGTGTGCTGCTTTGCCCACTTAGACCCTGACTTTTAATAAGCCTGTTGATCTGCAAACTCATCAGTGGATTCATCCACATCATGAAGTTAGAGCTTTCACAATTAAATCACATCCCAATCCCCATCAGATCTCAGCAATGTTGCACTGAAGATCAAGCCCCAAACACGCGAGCCTTAGGGAGAATATATCCAAACCACAACATATACTGTCCTGGGCTTCTTCTAGCCCATGCATTAGCATGACAGGAAGTAGTATGACACCACCCTTTCTGTGCACTGAGGGATTCCCCCAACAGATAATCTGTGCTTGCTCTCTCAGCAGTTGTAGATGAGACTTTTTCAGAGCTGTATTGAAATCTGAATCTTTTCCTCCCCAGTGCTAATTCCTTTCTTCTCTCCTTTCCCGGACATCAGACTAGTTTTGCAGTCTCAGTGTTCTTGCCCCTTACAGGTACATAGGCCCTTTCTCCCCGTTCTCTTTCTTACCTTTCTTCATGATCAGTTTCCTCGAAAATCTCTGGCATGTCCAATTCTTCCTCAGCACTGGTTTCTTTGAGGCTGCAAACTGATACATCTTTGAAGGATGATGCTATTCACAAACCTTGCACAAAACAGGTATCCTTTTCTGTGTGTATGTACGTATACATGTGTGTGTTTCTGAAAAGATTTGGAAGAATACACCTCTAATTTAAAACTGTGATTACCTCTGGGTAGAGAATTTACATTGGTCAGTGATATGGCAGCTTGAGTAAAAACAAATAATTTATTGAGTAAACTTGAGTGACTTATTTGTTATTCACATTTGTGATATATGAACAAATGACCTCTAGAACGCTAAGCAAAAGAATTACAACAAGAATTAATAATTACTGCCATAAGAGAAGGGAAGAGAGTGCCTTGGATGAATGTTGAGATTAATTTTTCACTATATGCCTTATGTCATCTACTGTTTTTTCTTGTAATATTACACACATGAATTACATTTTAGATTGTTTTAAAGTGGAGGCCACAGTTTTTCCCTCATTGCTATGGTTTGCATGCATTTGGTGACACTGACTCATCGCTCTCTTCCCAAGATTTTCCAAGACTGCCCTACTGTAAGACCCAATGTATCTAATTCTTTTTGTTTTAAAAAATTTTTAATTTATAAACTTTTCATTATATATGAAATAAAATCTTTTCATTATATATATTGACATATAATGATAAACTTTTCATTATAGATATTGTTTACCTTCCTTGTGGGAATTACTGCATGTACATAACATATCTTAATTCCTTTTTCATCTCCTTTCCTTCCTTTTCTCCCTCCATCTCTTGACTCCCTTCTTCTTTGAGAAAAATCTATCTTCCTTCTTGTTATTACCCAGTTTGTATTTTGCTCAAATGTATTTAATTCTCATACATTTGCTAGCAGATGGTGGCTGTAGTCTTATGCAGTCCTTTTAAGTATGAAAAGATGACTGCCTTCCAGTCAGTTATATAACTCCAGAACGGGTCACCATCAGCAGGTCTGGATATTATAATTAGAAACGTGATTGTAAAAGATGAGGCTAATGATTCATTCATGTGTGTAATATTACACAAAATGATGCACAGATTCTGTACATCCTCCTATGTCACGTTCACATTTGTATGTGATGAGGAAACACTGCAGGTTTTTGAGCAGGAAGAGCTATGTGAAGAGATTAGATAATAAGACTGAAGACAGAGAGAAGGTACTGGATACTATGACTATCATCCAGAGAAAATGAATGTCTGAGAAAGATGTTGGGAGAGCATGATACTGGTGAGACTAAAAGAAGGGGAAGAATGCAAGGATGATTTAGTTGGTAAAATCTGCATGAGCTGGAATAAGCCTGATGTGGACGGAATGGTGAGAGATGGAGAGGAGTCTAAACTAGACACACGTTTCTAGTTTGAGTGTTGGAAAGGTAATGGGCTGCATCAGAAGATCAGAAAATCTGTAACTCAGGGTATATGGTAATGGTGGCAGAAGGCATCTGGTATTGTCCTGCCACTGTCTTAAAAGAGATTCTTAAGGGATTTTCTTTCCCTTGTTCCTCCAGCCCTCCACTTGCATTACTGGACTAAGTGGATACTCACCAGCTGGCCGTGTCCATCATTGCAGCCAAGTCTGAGAATTCCTGATTATACTTAGAGCCTGTGGAGCTGCTGACATGGACAGTCATTAGCAGCCGACCCTATTGTAACACACTGTGCTTTAAAATGTAAACCGTGTGGCATTTTCCTTGCATTGTCCAGAAGGAACTTTCTCCTGCGTGAGCCTGGATTAAACATGAGAGAGCTCGTCAACATTCCACTGGTACATATTCTCACTCTGGTTGCCTTCAGCGGGACTGAGAAACTTCCCAAAGGTTAGTCAAGCAGTCTTGTCTTCTTGTTGACTTATCAGAGTCCTAAATTGTGTGCATGCTCGATGACTGCTGATTCATAGCATAGTGAGCTTTGGTTTTACTTGGTAGCGTGTACGTATACAGAAAGAGGAAACTATATATACAAGCAATTGGTAAATGGTTTCTTGCCTATTGTTATGCTACGCCTAAGTTCTGTAATAGCAAGTTCAGCTACACAGTGTGTAGGCAGAGCCCTCCTGTCTAGGGGAAACATTAGCAGGTTGACTGCAAGTTATCAAGTCTGTTTTGTATATGTGAATGTCAAACTTCAGGGTGGTCTAAATGAATGATGAAAACCTTTTCACACCAAGTTTGCCAGGAATATAATCCTCCCAACTTCCCGAGATTCAGAGTGTTTGGCTTCTGAGCAAAAATCATTTTCATTTTTCAGTTTTTATTTTACCAAATTCTTAATACATATTTTAGGTGCTGAAAATCAGAAATGGATAAACATGCCTACACAGTGAAAGGTTGGAGACAATAGAGTCTAAGTAACTTTGAGGCTGGAGTTATGATTTGGCTGGGAAAAGAGACTGCAAAAGTTTTTTCAGAGCCTTTGGAATGTACCGGAAATAACACCACCTCAGGGGAAAGGAAAGCAACTTAAGAAACTGACAAACACCTGTTGCAGTAGCAAGAATGTCCGCAGAGATATGGTTTCTGGCCAGTATGTTATGAAACTGACACTGCTGAGTGTACTTCAAATCAAGAAGGCTGGAACTGAGACTTACAAAGTGATGATCCAGGGCTTCATTGAAAGTTGTTTTAAAAAGATGTGAGACAGCAAGTTGAATGGCATGAATTAAATAATATTCAGATTGAATGCTTTATAGTGGAGCAAATCTGCTCTGTATTTTTGAACATTTTAAATTATTTTCTGTCTGTATTACTCTGTTAAAGTGACAAAAAAATTGTACTGTGGAGATCAGTAAAAACATTTCTTTAGATGGTGTAGTTTCCTAAAAATTCTGGACCTAAAATGTCAAGGTTCGTATGCAAATAAGAAACAGCTTTTTCTTCAATCTGATTGTACGGGTTTACTTTTGTTTTGGTGCTTCTGTCTTTCCCTTTTACTAGAGGAGAATGGTATGTTCAAATGCATTATAACATGTGATCTCCGGTGAATTCTTTTAGGTACTTCATATAAAAGAGAATCTAGACATTTCCAAATAGCTAATAATAGCCTGAAAGACTTAATATTGGCTTCAGATTATTTTAATACTTCCTGATTGCACAACGGATGTCCGGGAAGGTAGCATGTGCAGATTTAGACTTATGGATTCTCATCAGTCTTATCTGTATTATTCTATACCATGTAGTTATATAAAAGTACCATGGCTAAATGTTACTAAAATTCAGTCTTATAAACTGGACAACTGATTTTGATGGTCCAAATCAGAATTTGGTGCACAAAACCAAAAGTCCAAAACCTCTCTATGAAAAATTCTTAACTTATATTCTAGAAAGAGATAATTTTTAGTTTCCAAAGATCAAGGATAAAGTCTTTTTTTTTTTTGCTACTGGGAATCAAACTCAGGACCTCATGCTTGCCAGGCAGGTGCTGTGCCCTGAGTTATATGCCAGGCCCCACTGTAAAGTCTTATTTCAAAAGAAAACTGTATTTTGAAAACTTCAAAATACTGTAGGATAGAGATAACTCTGCCAAGTGGTCCTGGCTTTTAAATAAAATAATCACATTCTTAAACCATCTTTGTTTCTTGCAATTTATCTTCTGCTATAATTAGGTTTTAATACTTCAAAATTAAACAATATTTTTCCTAGTCTACTGTTTATTATAAAATTTAAATTAGTATAGATTTAACATCAACCTTAGCTAAAACACCATGCTTGAGGCAGGAAATACCCATTTAACACATATACCAGTTCTAAAAATAAATTGTAGCATAAAAACATAAATTTTAAAATTATAAATGTTGAATTGTGCAGAAAACACTGATAGAAAAGAACCACCTTAATACATTATTAAATATTATTAAAAGTAATAAAAATGTTCCATCCAAACATTCTCGTAATTATTTTCCCTATTCTTGTCAGAAGATAAAAACAAAAAGAGTTTCTAGGTGACATACCTTTTCCTGGAGCGTCAGGACTGAAACCAAGGGCTTTCAGCAATAATGTATTATAAAATAAGTGGACATATTTAAAATAGTGCATGACTCTTCCAAGGATTCTTTTCTAATTCTCTGCCCATTGCTTCCTTAATAAAATTAACACTTAGCTTTGTATTCATACTAACCTGTGGGATTAAAGGTTATTATTTTAGGTTTAATTTAAATGGGCCTCCTAATATTTACAAGCAAGAGGGCAAAGGTCATTGTCCTGTATCATTTCAACTAATGAGATTTTCAGTGATGAGCTCAATTTCAGTAGAATTTAAAAACCTGTTACATATGAAAATTAGTGACGTTTTGCTGAATATATGCCTCAACCACATACTTCAACAACACTTCAAATGCTTTATGAGAGAAGATCAAGTATATGGAAAGATTAAATTCTGAGGGAATATAAGCATTCATGTAAACAGCACTGAACTTAATATGCACAAAGAATTCTTGTCAAAATCCCATTTTCCCCTACCACTTTGTTTGTAACTCTGTATTGTCTGTATTGTGCTTGTGATATGTTGTAAAATGTTGTATGTCTGTTAATGTTTCCCTCCTTTTATCTTTAAAATAAAAAAAATCCCATTTTCAAGATGACTCCATTGACTACTCCACCTAGAAATTTTTGAGCTGGATTCATCTTTAGATATATTTAAGTAACAATTTCTTTTAAGTCATATATATACACACACACACACACACACACACACACACGCACACACACAAAGATAGGACTCATAGATTTGACATATGACTGAATCAGTGTGGACACAGCTGTCATTGAAATCCAGGACAGCAGGTCCTAGATGAATGTTTTATGTTGACGTGCATTGCAAGCATTACTCATTGTGTTTTTAGGAACTGCAGTTGCTTTAAGCATTATTGACCTTAAAGATGTGAATGTCAAGATTTCTTTAATTCTTACCTTAATTCCAAAGAAATAGTTCTTGAGGTCACTGGGGGAGAGTAACAAGGAGGAGATGGGAGGGGATCTGAGGGGAGTGGTTCATTCAGGAAAATGACAGAGGATTACAAGGGCCGTGCAGTACCCAGCTGGGACTGAGGACAGCAGCTTTATAGGTGACCCTGACCTGAACAGTTGTTTCACTTTATCCACCAGCACTATATGAATATATAAGTAGTGAAGACAGATGGTTGGATTAATTGAGGTTTGGTGCTTTCCAGGGTCAGGGCAGCTAAAGAACTAAATGGTAAAGGAGTTGGGGTTCTATGGCAAAATGCCATGAGGGCGGACAGTGGATAATGGAGAAAGTGAGACAAGGATACTTAACGTTTGGAGGAAAACAATGAGATCAAGATTCACTTTCCTAGTCCCCAGCATCTTTCCGTGTGTGTTTAGGGAAAGCACATCATTTCCTCACAAAATGCAGTGCCTACCATAAGACAGTATTATGCTAAGGATTGTCAGTGATCGATGTAATGATCACCCCTGAATAATCATTTGCATGTTTTATATGGCCTTTTCTGGAACTATGGTTGAAACCAAAGGATCGCCTCCAAAAGAAGCAATTTCAGAAATTAATAGCTTGCACAGAACTGCCTGTACCCGGTGCCATTTCTGAAAGAAAGGGCCAAGAATGTGTTCTGTTGCAAGGAATTAATGACACATTAATATGTGGTTACTGGGTATTATTATCAATGAGACATAAAAGTCACAAAGACAGCATAATAAAACACAACTTCCACTTTATTACATTTCCAGTTAAAGATATGTGCTGGTTCTTAAGATATACAAGATGATAAATAATATTGGGTAGCCTTTTGGGGAGATTTGAAAAGAAATACTGCATTCATGATGTTAAAGAAACCTGAATATTTTCCAAGTCTCGGTTCTAATTTTACCGAACCAGAAAGCAGAAGATACACCTGGCTTCTTTATAAATGCAGTCATTTGTCCTGATAATCAGCAGCTATTCCATCAGAAGTTAGTATGTTGATGGTCATGTCCAGTTTTATCCATGAACTCCAAAGGAAAGGTAATATGTCACACTTGCTAAATGGCTGCTATACAAGTTCATTTGGGGTCCAGAAAAGTGTTGTGTTTATTTTCATATATTTGTCCTCATGTAGTCTTTGGAGCAGGACAAGCAATGGTGCCCTAATTTAAACCAGCTCTCGCTGAGATGAAAGCTGGATAATGGAATGAGAGTAAACAAGAGACAATCTGCTGAATCAACAAATATCATCAACTACAACTATGTGACTGCATCAGTAAAACTTTGAAAGCAAATCTGGGTAATTTTTAAATATGGGCAAAGTGGACTTAACCGATTATATTTTGCCTAGAGAAACTAATATTGATGTAAATCTTCTTCCAAATCTGTGACCACTATTATATGATATACTATACCATATAGTATGAACTATAAACTAAATTAGTCCTGATGGTTAGCTCTGTCATTTCCTACTTTTATGATATTTAGACAAGTTATTTAATTACTCCTAGCCCTTCTGCATAATCTGCAGACAGAAATATTACTAGCATCTACCTTTACATTTGTTGTGATAAACAAATGGAATAATGAATGAAAAGTATGCACAGAACACAATGACTTATTTATCATTTGTACAAACTAGTATTGTTAAAAACAGAGTCAAATTTTAGGTAAGACTACCATGTCCCTAAATGCTATGGAAGATGCTGACAAAATAAAGTTCTTAGTTATGAGGCATACATTTCTCTGTGTCTAAGATCATCAAGACTTTCTAAGTCTTCCTTTTTTGATCTTAAATACCATTGGTGTCATCTCATTATAAAGATCACATTTAATACAACTATCACCTCTGCCACTTCTTTATATGTGTATTGGGTGAAAA